TGGACAGCCACTTGTCCAAAATGAAATAGGGTCTCCTGCTTGAGCAGGGGGTTGGACTAGAAGACCTCCAAGGTCCCTTCCAAATCTGGTATTCTGTATTCTGTATTTTCCCCCCGCCCACTGTTTTGCAGATGTGCACTTCAGCACATCTGTGCAGGAGGCCCCCTTAATTGCGCTCCGCTTAACAAGTGTCCACATTGTATATATTTTCTTCCAGTTCGACCCATTCCTATCCTTTGCAATTAAATTCACTCTGTAAAAGTGTTCTTCCTCCCCCTTATTACTAACAGAAGTCATTATCCAGGGAAGGCAAAAAGAATCAGTTCTCACTGGAGCCAAGTCAAACACCATTGATCATGCATTTTTAATACAATCTCTTTCACATTTCCACCTCGTAAATCACTAGAAGCGTCTTCCTTTGCAAGGATCCTTCGTGGTTCCCAGTCCTGACAGAGTAAAGGCAAGGTGGGAAAAATTCAGCGCAAACCAGTATTTTCACTGAAATAGCACCCAATTAAAATGTTCAACATTCTGGCAGCTCTGCACTCTCTGTATTAACACCAGGCTATGATTTGAGCAACCTGATGTTCATTTTATTCCGTTTTTATAGACAGGCTTTATAAATGCATCCAGACCCACCGTTCTGTTCTCTTTCAGGGTGAGTAATGTAGTGTCAACTATTTCAGGGAAATAACAGATCAGGAACCAAGGAACCAAATAACGAAGAGCAAGCTAAGAAACGTAGTGAACTAGGAAACTATAATAAACAAAAAGGAAAGGTAGCCGAAACCGATTCAAACTTGCGCAATTCTCGATGCTTGGAAAACCATTCTCCCTTCCCCGTCTGTCCCTGTTCTAATTCACACTTTGTTTAAATTGCTCATCTCTATTTTTGCAAACTGTTATCATCCAATCACATTTCCCCTTCGTCGCTGCCCATTTATTTTTCCTTGAAATAGACCTTTTGCCATTTGATCCCCGTTCGTTTTTTAAAATTTCTTTACAATCAAATCATCGCAGTGCCCTGTCATATTGCGCATGGAAAGTTCATCTATCATCTAATATGGAGGAGGAGGAGGAGGAGGAGGAAGAGAAGGAGGAGAAGGAAGAGGAAGAGGAGGAGGAGGAGGAGGAGGAGGGAAGGGGAGGAGGAAGAGTAAAAGGAGGAGGAGGAAGGGAGAGGGTTTGTGATGTGGAGGAGGAAAAGGAGGACTGCGGGGTCCTTGGTGCTCTCTGAGTATGATTCTTTTCTAATTGCAAACATTTCATTACCCAACTAGGGAACATCATCAGTGCAGGAAGGAGGAGGAGGAGGAGGAGGAGGAGGAGGAGGAGGAGGAGGAGAAGCAGAAGAAGGAGGAGGAGGAGGAGAAAGAAGAGAAGAAGGAAGAGAAGGAGGAGGAGAAGGAGGAGCAGAAGAAAGAAGAGAAGGAGGAGGAGGAGCAGAAGAAGGAGGAGAAGAAGAAGGAGGAGGAGAAGGAGGAGGAGGAAGAGGAGGAGGAGGAGGAAGAGGAAGAGGAGAAGAAGGAGGAGAACGAGAAGAAGGAGGAGGAGGAGGAGGAGAAGGAGAAGGAGGAGCAGAAGAAGGGGGAGGAGGAGAAGGAGCAGAAGAAGGAGAAGAAGGAGAAGGAGGAAAAGGAGGAGGAGAAGGAATAGCTTTGTTTTTTGTTGTATTGTCAACTGTAAAACGCGACTCTCTCCTTCTGCTCTACGTTACCAAAGAGAATCAAGCAGTCGGTTCACGATGCAACGAGAAGGACTGAGTTTTACCCACAGTATTATTATTATTTTTTTACTCCCCTTGAGATTCCTGCTGCCTCAAATCAAGTACCCTTCCCCAGACGTTTCGCTAAACGCCCCTTTTGCACTGATCTTCACGATAAATGGAGCCTGCGGCTTCACAAAAGAGCCACAACAGCTTCGGCCGGAGAAAATTAAGTGCCATTTAATGCGCAATTGTGCCCTGCCGTTCATAAGCGGTTACATTTCCTGCATGCTCAGAGTCTCTCTCTCTCTCTCTTCCCCCCTCACCCAGACAGAACGCCTGTTCTTTGCCGTGGACGGGAATCGCGTCACCTCCCACGCAAATAGGAAGGAGAGAAAGGTGCTGGCAGCCAGACCGTTTATTATTTCTGGGCATTTGTTTTAAAAAGACAGCTACAGCGTCTTGCCCCCCAACAAATTGGGTCCTCATTTTACTGACCTCAAAGGAGGTCGAGCTGCTGAGGATCGAACTGCTGGCAGCGGGCAGAGTCAGCCTGCAATGCTGCATTCTAACCACTGCACCAACCACCAAGAGAACTATATTTCCTATTTCCTAACTGCCCTTCTCTCTCTCGGGCACCCAACAGGTAAGCAACATTTGGGAAGAGAGAAGCAATTAACGCTCAATTAAAGAAATATTTTTTTAAAAAAAAAAACCACCTACACAAACACACGGGCATACATGAAACGCATCCTGGCTCAAACTGTTTCTGCTCCCAAATCTCTTTGTCTGCAACATTAGTGCATAGTTCTCAACACAATTTGCTATGTGGGGGAAGACATGGGGGGAAAAGATGAGTGTTGTCATCAATGGGAAGATTAGCGAGTGATTCATTTCTTTTAAGAATGGAAGCAAGGAATCCCTTGCCTAATTTCAGAGATGCTAATAGAGCATTATGTTTACCTGTAACAGCCACAACTGCTTATTAAGCTTGTCTTTTAGAGACATTGTAAAGCCGTGAGGGGCAACTGGCAGCAATCTTTTTGTGAGGTCCCTTCCAATTTCCTCGGCACATTTTTCCTCGTCATGCTCCGTGTCAGCCATCCTAAGGCTCTGCGCATCACTTAAATTTGCAAGCCAAAAATCAAAAGTTATTTTCAGACAGTTGGTCATTATTATTTGCTGTGGATTGATTTTTTTTTTTCTGCCCAAACATCCTAAATTCTTCTGGATTTTTTTACATTTTTCTCCCTAAGAATGGCGAGAGAAAGAAACTGTTGCTATTTCTAGCAACGTTTGTTTATTTATTTTACCGAGCGCACTTATATTTTATTGCATTTTACTAACCCTAGGTGGAACGTGAATATACATTGCTGGTCCGTATATACGTTATGCGATACGTTGAATAAATCATCTGGCCGGTTTCTTTCCTCCTTTTTTTTTTATGTTTGCCTGCAAAAAAACGAAGCCCTTTGAAAAGGTGACAAATTCTTTTCCACTTTTTTTTTTCCTAAAAAGAAAATGGGCTCTTTTGCAGCTTGAAATGGAAAAAAAAGGAACAGGCAGGACTTGGATCCGATGCTGGTAAAACTCAAAAAGGTCAGATTCGTAGCCTCGCGTGCAAATATATCCCTTTTTTTTTTTTTTTGCTCAAACGACACAAGAAAATTGCTCAAATGACACAGGAAAACCATGGAAACTACAGTTCAGAATGAGCTCGGAGGCCAGACTGTCTTATAAGCTTATTTGCTTTATTTAAATAAGGGAGGCGATTAGAGGAAAAAAAAAGTACCATAATTGCGAAGGATGAATTCCCACCGTGGTGTAACACAATTAAAACAAAAATGCAGAATTAGTTTTCGGTTTGCGCATTTTTTTTTCCTTTTCTTTTTCTCTCAAAGATCATTTTGGGGGTAGAGGTTAAGGCAGCCGTCTGGAAAACTGGACGACCATGAGTTCTAATGCTAGACACGAAGCCGGATGGCTGACCTTGTGCCAGCCACTCTCCCTCAGCCCTAGGAAGCAGGCAATGGCAAACTGCTTCTGAAACCTTGCCAAGAAAATTGCAGCATTTTGTTCAGGCTGTTGCCAGGAATCAAAGATCGAAAACTGAGCCAGATGGCAGTTTAGGGGCCAAACACTTTGGAAGATGGAACAGAATGCCTCTGAACATGGGCCGCGTGCAAGAATTTATTTCCAGTAACCAAAATGAGCTCGTCTTTCTCTACACAAACACACAGACACACACAATCTTCTTTTGTTTGTTTTTAAGGGCAGCCTAATTTAGAAAGAGAGATTTTCAAACGCGGGGTCCGGATTTTGTGAAAGATGTAGGCCTCATAAAAATTCTTAGGGATCCACATTAGATCCCAGTATATGCCAAGTCTTCCTGTACACCTGGAAGGAACAGTAGGGTTAAAACTGTAAGAAGTAATTTTTTCAAAAATCCTTCCCCCACAGCTGCGCAGTTAAAATTGGAGCAAGGTTTTAATAGGAATTGGGGAAAAAAGAGAAAGAAACTTTTTTTTTTCTCTTAGTTATGCATCCTCTCTAAAATCTTTGCTTCAAAAAAAGGACAACCAAATGTTCTAAACACATGGAGCTGGTTGGGGTTTTTTTTTCCCTACAATTTTCCCCCAAGGTAAACAGTCCAAAGAAAACAAGACTGGCAATTATTAGATGCTCTGGAAAAGAATGCCAATCAGAAGGAGTAATTAAATTTCTCACTGCTGCCGGTACGAAAATGACCCTGGGGCCTTGTGAGAAGTTTGATATTGAAATATATTTTATTCTTTATACTGCTTCCACCTTCCCTTGGAATATTAACGGAGTCCACAGTGGTCTGAGAATCAGCGTCTCGCCACTAGATAAATTGAAAATTAGCAAACCTCCTCAAACCCCCAAAATAAGTTACCCAGATCGAATCCACATATCAAAACGATAAAGTCTGCAAACACAAACAAGAGTAAATTAAATTAGGTCTCCCAGAGGAACTGCATGTTTATAGAAATAAATATACACAGAGTCAAGAGTCACCCTAGAATTAGCATGTAGAAGTGTACCCCACTTCTCTGCAGCTGCTCCTAAAGGCAAACTGTTTTGCTTTTGGGGATAAATATTTCTTTCCCCCTCCAAACTTTTGGGCACCGGTGACCGGTTCCACGGAGAGAGGTTTTTCCGTGGGTGTGGTTTTACGTGCTGCCTACATCCCATGGATGAGGCTTTTCCTGTTTCCGCGGACCGGTTGCTGGCATGCTGCGGACCAGGGCCGGTCCATGGACTGGGGGTTGAGGTACCCCTGCCCTAAAGTATCCATTGTTCCTCTTGTTTTAAGTTAGGGCAACACCTTTAGCTGGTAAGGCGACCTTCCTGGATCAAATGTACAATTCTGAAAAATGCTAGCATCCTTTTACTTTTTTTCTCTCTCCTCTTCCTCCTTCCCACTGTAAATAGAATTTTTTTTTTTTTTTTTAAAAAGGAACACCTAGGTCTCTTCCATTTGAAGAGGCACGAAGGTTCCTCCCACCCAGCCCTGCCCGGCTGTCAGTCTGGCACAGCCACAGATACAAATGGTTCTAATTATTGTGCTCTAAACTAATCACCGCTGTGTTCCCTTTTTAAAGAGAGTATCACTCTGGATTGCGAGGGAGCCTCAGCATAGCACCACTTAAAAATAAAAATAAAAGCTAGAAACCATTCAGAACCTGGGAGAGCATTTAGGAGGGAGAAAAGGGGAAAGGGAAGTTGACACACTGTTGATTGATCCCATCTGGAAGGAGGAGGAAGGAGGAAGGAGGAAGGAGGGAGGAGGAGGAGGAGGAAGATGATAGATTGAGTTGAAATTTAAGTAGATCACAGATAGATGATAAGGAGAAGATAGATGAGGAGGAGGAGGAGGAGAGGAGGAGGAAGAGGAGAAGTAGACAGATAAGGAGGAGAAGATAGATGAAAAGGAGGAGGAGGGGAAGAAGAAGAAAGAGGAGGAGGAGGAGGAGAAGAAGAAGAAGAGGAAGAGGAAGAGGAGGAAGAGGAAGAGGAAGAGGAAGAGGAAGAGGAGGAAGAAGAAGAAGAAGAAGAAGAAGAAGAAGAAGAAGAAGAAGAAGAAGAAGAAGAAGAAGAAGAAGAAGAAGAAGAAGAAGAAGAAGAAGAAGAAGAAGAAGAAGAAGAAGAAGAAGAAGAAGAAGAAGAAGAAGAAGAAGAAGAAGA